TGGTAGCTGGGGGCGGTGGGAGCGGATCGGTGCTGGTTCCTGGGGGAGCCCGGGAGTGCCGCTCCTCCCCTTCCCGCCCGGGGCCCTGGCTCTTACTCATCTCCTTCCCAGACAGCGCAGCCGGCCCGGAAAGCTCTGCCCTGCCAGCAACGCCCGCGGCCCATGGCTGCCTGCAGGCTGGGTGGGCGCAGTGCCGCGGCCTGGGAGGGCGCAGTGCCGCAGCCTGGGAGGGTGGGCTTGCTGTGCCAGGCTGGTGAGCTGCCCTCGGGGTTCCTCAGCCCCGGCACAGGAAGGATCCCTTGAGGTTTTTCTTGGCAGCCCCCATCCACCAGCGCCTGCTTTGAACCCTGCCTGAGCCCTGCCCAGCCCCACTGCCGGCAGCCCAGTACATGTGCCCCATCCTTGCATCAGGGGGTCCCAGGGCACGGGGCTGGCGCAGTCCCTGGGTGGTGCTGGAGCCCACCCAGCAGCAATGAATGGCTTCACTCACACTGCCTTGACATGTCCCCCCTGGCCCGACTCTCCTGCTTTCTCCCATGGCCTTGCCACCTCCCTTGCCATGCCCCCCATTCATAGCTGGCCCCTGCCATGCCCGGACTCTTCCCAGCCTCCACCTGGCTCGGCTGCCCCCGTGCCCTTTCTCAAATGAGTAACCAGGGCTGCCTGGCCAGGCGTGAGGGCTCTGCACCCTGGCTTGTCACATGGCCCCACACCCCATTAAGCACCACATCCTCCGGGGAGACCCTGACACCCCCCACATGGCCCTCCCAGCCCTCACCACTGTGCCTGGCTGGCACTGGGAAGGGTGGGCAGCACCCAGGGCAGGCACCAATATACCCCCCAGCTCCTCTCCTGTCCCTACACCTGAGCCCGGTGTTCCCAACCAAAGTGTCTACCCCCCAGCCCCCTCCATCCTGGCAGGAGAGCAGTGGTGTCTGATGGGGCTGGGCACCATGCCAGGAACTCTGCTGGGGACATGGGCTGTGGCTGCCTGCACCCACAGAGCCTGCCTCAGGCAAGCACCACAGAGCCGCACTGGGGCAGGGGGGGCAATGTCCCCTGTAAGGGCAATGCCTCAAATGACCCATGCCAGCGAGAGGGTTGGCATCACCCTTGAAACCCCGTGGCCTTGGGCAGGTGCTGGGAGAAAGACCTCAGAGCTAGGACGGCCAAGTCTGGCGAAGCTGTGGGCATAGTGATGCCTGAAGTGTGGGTACCACCAGCTGACCTGGCCACACTCAGCCCCACTGGGCTCCAGGTCACTCTGCCCACTCCTGTGCCTCAGTGCCACGGTCCCTGGGCCTGATGCCCATCTCTCAGCTGCGGCAAGTGAGGCACTGGGCAGCCTGGATGTGCTGGAAACAGATGCCTGGGCTCTGTGCCTGCTCTGAGCAGTGCGTATCAGCCTGTAGCGATGGGCACGAAGGTGCTGAGCCCGCTGCCAGAGAGCTGGCACAGGGGAGCTGGATGGGCTCTCGCCACAGCAGAGCACCCCACGGGGCTCCAGCCCCTCTCCCCTGAGACTCAGGGAGTTCCTGGCCCTTTAAACACTAATTAGGCCCATGCCTTTAAAATGCGCCCCGGAGGCCAGGACTCATACCCTGCAGGAGGAGGCTGGCCAGGAGCAGGTGGGCTGAGCGAGCTGGTCCTCCCCACCCACCTCACTTCACCCCCCCCCTTGCTCCCTCACCTGTGCACTTTTACAGCCTCTGTAGCTGGGGTTCTGGCTGGCTGGCTTTGCCCCAGTCTGGGTTTTAGTCTGGAATTTGCACCCCTTTTTGCATCTAGAGCTCCCCCCACCTTTCTGTTCCTGTGTCAAGCTGAAGCAGCTGGCATGGTTGTCCTGGCTTGAATAGCAGCTGGCAGCACTCTGGGCTCTCCTTTTGCTTGTGCCTTCAACCAGCTCTGCCTTTCCAAGGGGAGACAAGCATGACTACCTGCTCCCCCTAATTCTGCTGCCAGCTAGCCCCACCTTGCTCTACTCACCTACCACCCACCCCCATCATGGCTTTGCTCCATCCCTTCACCAGCCTTGTCCTCCTCTTTGCTGTGCCCCTTTCCCGGGCTGCAAACAAGTCCCTGCTGCCCCCCGGCTCCTTGCCCGCCGTGCCTGCCCTGCCCCTCCTGCAGGCCCTGCAAGTGCAGGCCCCAGGCAGCCGGGGCTGGCGAGTGGGGCCAGCAAGCGGGCAGCCCCTGCGCTACATGCTGAACCTGTACCGACGTGCTGCTGACCGCGAAGGGCGACCGCGCCACGGCCGCAGCCTGGGCACCAACACTGTCCGTCTGGTCCGGGCCAGTTCCCACGAGGGTCAGTCCTGGGCAGGTAAGGAGCCAAGGGCAGTACAGGAGCTTATTGGAGCTGACAGGGTGGGTTTAAGCCCTGGGGTGTCTCTGCCTGCCTTTCTTATTTCTCTTTACAGTGTCTCGGCCAGGGCTGGCATGCCCTGTGCCCTGCAGGGCTGTCTTTGGCTGTGGGGTCACCCTTGGGGAAGGCCCAGGCTCCCCTTGCCCCAGGGATGAGATGGGCAAGGGCATCACTGGCCCCACATGCCCCTCTCCCCATCTTGCCTAATGCTGTGCCAGGCCAGAGGTGTTGCTGCAGAGGGTGGGAATTGCTCCAGCCTCCCTTTGTCCTTCACTGGTGAGCTGTGGCACACGGCCGCTGTTCGCTGAGGCTGCTGCCTCGTGTCCCACCTGGCTGTCACAGGCTTTGAGGGTGGTGATGCCACAGGCTCCACTGTTCTGTGTGGGGCTGTGGCAGCACCCTGGCAGAAGGCCATGCTGGCACGGTGCCTGCTGTGCCATACCAGGGTAACACTGACCGCTGCTTCCCCGCAGGTCGCTGGTATGTGCAGCCCCTCACCTACCACCTGGAGAGCCAGCCCAAGGCCGAGCACCTCCTCCGAGCCACTGTGGTCTACCTGCCCAGCCTGCCGCTGGCACGCGGTCGCCTCCTCTGCGCCCTGGAGCTGGCAGCCACCAGTGAGGCACCTGGGGTGCTGCTCAACCCTACCGCCCGCCCCAGCCACGGCTGGGCCGAAGCAGATGTCACCCCTTACCTGGTGCCAGGGAACGGCAGCGTGAGGAGCCTGGTGCTGCAGCATGTCTGTGTGCGTGCTGGTCGGGCAGGGGGTGGCGATACCCCGGTGGACCCCAGCCACCCCTTCCTCCTTCTCTACCTCAACGACACCCGGGCTGGGCTGTCACCTCCAGCAGCAGAGCCTCTCCGACACCGGCGTGACACAGGGATGCTGGCCCATGACCTGCCCAGCTACCTGCGGGAGCAGGGAAGGGAGAAGAGCGACTGCTCCCTGCGCCCCTTCCCTGTCAGCTTTGCCCAGCTGGGCTGGGACCATTGGATCATTGCACCCCACCGCTACAACCCACGCTACTGCAAGGGTGTCTGTCCCCGCCTGCTCCGCTACGATTACCATGCACCCAACCACGCCGTGGTGCAGAGCTTTGTCCATCAGCTGGTGGATGCCAATGTGCCCCGGCCTTCTTGTGTCCCCTACCGCTACAGCCCCATCAGTGTCCTCATGATTGAGCGCAACGGCGGCATCCTCTACAAGGAGTATGAGAATATGATTGCAGAGTCCTGCACCTGCCGGTAATGCCCGCCGCCCTGGCACATCACCCCCAGGCTTTGCCTGTCCCTGCTGGATCTGGACTTTAGGGTTTGTCTTGCTTGGTCTGGGGTGGGTTTGTCCCTGTCTCCCTGTGTGGCACTGCTCTGTGGGAAGGTTTTACAATGGCAGTTTTATGTAAATTGTAGGTTTTTAAAGGCAGGAGCCTGCACTGGGGCAGTTGCCCTGTGGCATCTGTCCTTCCTGCAGCCCCACAGCTGTTTTTGGGGGGCAGGGGGGTCTTGGCCTGATGCTCCCAGAGAGGAGCTGGGTCCCTGGACTGGAGCGTGAAGCTCTTGGGAGGTGGCTGGGGGTCTCCTGGTGGAGCCAGGACAGGGAGGGCAAGTGGTCCAGGTGTCCCCGTGCTTGGCACCAAGCTGGTGCAACCCTGCCCATGGGATTCCTTCCCAGTTCACATGAACCCTATCCCATCTAGTCCCAGCTGTGGTGGCATCTCACCAGGCTGGGAATTGGGCTGGGGGGACAGGAGGGGAAGCCCTTTTCCTCCCCTGCAGTTCTGCTCTGGGGGACTGTGAAAACTGGAGGGACCCGAGCTGCCAGCTCTGCTCCCAGTGCCAGGGGCCAGGCAGCTGCCTGCACTGGGCTCTGCCCGCTGCTTCCTCTGCCTTCACCTCCTTGGCTTGCCCTTGAGCAAGGCTTTGGGTCTCACCCTATCCCAGAGCTCAGACCCCCATTGCAGTATTCCTCTGCCTTCTTGCACCCTTGCTGTCCCATGGGGTTTGGGCTCTGCTGGGCACCTGTTCCCAGAGGGGTTGGTCCCAATCCCAGCACCCCTGCCACCTGCTTTCCTCTATTTATTGATTACTATGTAAATAAATAAATTGATGGATTTTGCTAAAGACCATCTTGGCCTTTTCTTGCCCTGTCTCTGGGGTGCAGTGGGTGCTCCCCAGGACAGGCTGGCATAGACTGTCACCATGCAGCCACCCTTGTGCTTGCACCAGAGGTGGCGGATGTTACTTCCTGCCTGTGTGCAGGGGCAACATCCCAGCTGGTTCAAGCAAGAGCTGGAAGAAGAGTCTCCTCTGGAGCAT